TATATATATATATATATATATATATATATATATATATATATATATATATATATATATATATATATGTATATATATATTATATAGACTATAAATGTATGGTCTATATGATCATCGTTTTGAACGTAACATAATATAGAAATACAATAATTGGTTACGATCAGAATGAAAGTATTGAATGTTTTCGCGATGTTTTTGTGAAAATATTGAATGTTGGCTATCGTGCATCTGACCCTAGCTTTTTTAAAAGTTCTTGCACGGGTCAGGACAAAAAATAAGCCATCTTGAATATCAGTGATACCACTATAACCACAATGCAAAGCGCTACGAAAACGTGATAAGGGGAATCATCTATTAATTGCCTTTGCCTAATTTTCATATGTCAGCAATATGAAAATCAGGTAAAGGCAATTATTAAGCATTCAAAAGGCAGATTTTTTTTTGGGGGGGGGGGGAATGAATAGTTAAAGGCTTAAACTAAAGCAAATTGTCTGCAATTTTGTTCAGTAATTAAAAACCCAACAAATTTTCCATCCATTAACTCAAAATACGATTAAAGATTTTAAATTTCGTGCGCAAGTCATTTTTAGTTTGTTGGAAAAGAACAACCTCCCTGGTTTACGCAATTTGAGTTCGAGTATTTTTTTCATTATTCTACACTATGGGTACTCAAGGAATCTATATATATAACAAAATCTTGATCAATACCACGAGCTGTTTTTCGAAATTGAGTGCAATTTCAAATCTGTTCAGTTTTTTTGTACTATTTAAAACACGAGTATAGGAGTGTTTTATCAGATATAAAACGCGAGGCGCAGCCGAGCGTTTTATGTCTGATCGATAAAACACGACGACGAGTGTTTTGAATAGCTTAAAATACGACTACAAAAGAATACTAATTAGGATGAACCCATTATATAATCATACTAATTAGGATGAACAATTATATAATGCCACATGCTTTATCACATAGAAAGTCACTCCACGTGACATATTATGGCTGACATGATTTGCTACAAGGTTTATGAATTATATTCACCTGAGTACATAACATCAAAAAACAAACACAAAAATATAGATAAAAACATTAGGAGATTACACCTCACCCCAGTTTCTCCTCAATTTTGAGAGAATTACAAAATTGGTCCTGAAAGAAAAGTGTGTGTGTGTTGGGGGTGGGGGGGGGGGGGAGCGGCCATATTATTATTATTATTATTTTTGAACATCTCAGTTTATTGAACAATAATGTTGAAGGATTTTGTTGATGGAAATTTCGAGTGTGAATGTTATACATTTATTATGAACTAACCAGGTCGACTCTGTATAGCTCAGTTGGTAATTAGAGCGCTGCATTGAAATCGCAGGGCCGCGCGCGCAGGTTCGATTCCAGGCAGAGGGCCTATATAGTTGCATTTGTCGCAACTGGTTGGGTCTTAAATGTATAAAATTTACACTCGAAATTTTCGTATTATTATTGTATGAATTTCAAACTTTTTTTTTTCAAACTTTTTTTTTGGTTTTTTTTTTCAAATTTCAATGGTTTATTAATTTTTATATTTTATTTTTTAATTTTAGTAATTTGTTTTTTTGCTGGCTGTAGTACATGCATATATATGGAAATGTGATAAAATTTTAATGTTGTGTAAAGTGCATGGTTATCTATAATCTATATAGTTCTCATTCAACATATATTGTTAGTTTTAATTTCAAAATTTTTATACACCCTGTATATATAATGAAATCAGTAATTTAATTAATGAAAGCATTTCTATTTTTATACGTTTTATTGGACTATATTTTAGTCATCTTCAGGAATGGATGAAATTACAAGCGTAGGCTATAACAGTCCCTTATATACCCTAGTTACAGCTATACTGTCTTTCTTATAGTGATGATGCGTGATATGCGTATTAATATATAGAACCGAATATATTAAGTGTATAGTTCGTTGTGTTCACATTTACTATGACCAAGATATTGTTAGTGAGTTTCCTTCTACCTTTAAGGTTTTTTGAAGAAGGTTTTACTTATTCGGTGCAGCTAGGATTCAACCCGTCGACATATTCTCATGTTTCAATCCTTCAGTACGTAACACCTTGTTTTTCCAGTAAAAGATTAAACAGTTAAATGTACAATTCATCAAAAGTATGGTTCTAGCCCACATCGGCTTGCAAGGTCTGCATCTGTGTGTGTCGAGTGTGTTAGTCCAATGTAGACAAACACTGGAATGGATATCACCACACCACAAGCGACTGCTAGCAAACAACTCGATATGTTTTTCGAAGAAAAACATCTTTTTTATTTCGGGTGATATTCTTTTGTTTTTACGACTTTTCCTGACGACTAGAAACAGTTTTTAGTTGATAAATAACATTGCAGGGATGAGAAGAGTACAAATAATTAGAACATGTACTTGGTAGGAAATAACTAAGTAAGACATCATATTCAAAGTTATTTCGACGATGGTCAGTATTAGATGGTCATTAGCAATTACACCAACCTTTCCCGTCGACCATAACATCGTGATAAACGCCATCAATGCATTATTAGTTAATTATTAAAACCGTAAGCAAATCGCAACAGCACAAAACCATCATCATGGAACAACAAAATTTCTTTCGAAGTTGTACAGACCTCCAGAAACTGAATATGACCAAGGAATTTAAACATATTCCCGAGAAAAAGAAGAATACATTCACAGCAAATAAAATATCAGGTTGATAAAATAAATAGATTCCATCCTCGAGCGACTACTTCTGAAGAATTAATCCGATTGCAACACAACGGTTGACTGATTGCATTGCAATCGCACAAGGTGGTCACATCTGTTTTTAATTTATGACAATGACACACTTAAGCGCCGGTCAAACGAGAATGAAAGTTGATGAGAGTTGCAGTCACGATCGTTGCCCAAAATAAATTAGAATCAGTGAATCACTATACCTTCCAAAGTCACTATACCTTCCAAAAATCCTGGCCCTAAGCAATGGAGAGCAGCGCGCAAGAGCAGCATTTCCACAACAAACACATTTTTCCCGACATTATTACAGAACCAGAGGGCATTTAACGTATATCATGCATAAATCATACAATGGGCTTATTACGCATTCAATTTTACTCTGTTCGACAAAGCAAGACAAACATTTTCTATTTTCTCATCCACTTTTTATCCAAATTTAACAAAAATTTAGTTAATTTGTCGTTGGGTGATGTTCAATAGTCATATTCATTTTCGTACTAATACGTTTAATATTTTAAGACATTTTAAAATCATTTCATACACATGTATATTTTTTCGAAAGTGAGAAGTTTTCTGGATTTTAGATTCTCTCTAAAATGTGGTTATTTTATTTTTAAATTTCAAGAGTTTGAAAAACTCAAATATATTTTCCAAGATCCGATTTTAAGATATCTCACTGCGAATAAAAATGGCCAAATAGGAACGACTTGAAATTACCGGTCGAAAACAAATTTTTCTATCTCTGCTGCCGCAAAATATTCTCAGAATTTTCAAACATTTGCCCAAACGGAGGTCGCTGTATATGAAACATTATACAGGCATTGAAGGTTCTCTGCAAACTTCAAGTTTCGTAAAATGTTTTATCCACAGAATGTCATTGTAGATCTAATCGCCAGTTAACTCATCTTTAAATTAATTGCCAAGATTAGATTATTCTTAAATTTTGACTATTCTTTCACAGACGAATTAGTTGACCTGCATCAAAGGACGAAAGCACATTTCTATTCATTCCAGTGTACAATGTTCTTTCGTCAAAATCCAAGATCTGATTGGTTATGTTAGTGAATAATATGCTAATGCGATCAACCTATAAAGCAACTTCTGCATGCAGATTATTTGTTATGATATGGATGAAATATATCACTCTTGCGCGCATGCTGTAGTACATCAAACACCTGAAGAACTGGATTTAACCACAGAGGGTAGTACAGACCACCTGATAAAGGAGATTGACAGTAGCACAGCTATTACAAGAGGTATATGATCAGTATACCATGTAATGTTATGTGAAGATAAACCCTTTTGATGTATTACTAGCCTGCGAGCATGCTCTCAAGGTGAAATGAGAGCCTGCACTGATGACATACAATTTTGAATATCTGCCCCGTAACCATCGTTTTTCAAAATATGGAATGTCTATCCTTATATGGTGTTGTTTACAACTTTCGTGCAAACTAAATTTAGACCGTGCAAACTAAATTTAGACCGTACAGTTTATACTGTTTTTCAAGATATAAGATATTCAAGCAAAAGTTTAAATGTTTTAAATACTGTTTTCTCAAGACAGAACATTTCGTGCTTTGAGGTAAGATGGCCAAGACCAATTTGATCAGTTAATGTGTTTTTTATGCATAGTGCTTCAGCTGTTGACATATATAGAGCTGAGCGGAAACATAAAAATTATAGCATCTGACCAATGAGAATTTCGCGTCCCGATTCGAGACGCAGATATTCAAAATTGTATGCCATCAGTGCAGGCTCTCCTTACACCTTGAGAGCCTGCTCGCAGGCTAATGTATTACATGCATCGCTGCTTTCGGACTGGTTCATCTGCATTGCATGGTCTGCATGTTACTGGGTGCAAATGCATTGTCGTGGGAAAATTGCCTAAATCAATAGTGATAGGGCAGAAGAAACTCTTAAAACTGAATGTAGTTGTTACTATAGCGGTTCTGTCTATTGAAGTGATTTTAGTCGATATATACATATGTTTTTGTATACTTACACTGTTAATTTGAAGGAGTAGATACTACTCCAAAAAAGGAGTAAAAAAAAAAGGTACCAGTTGACTCTGTTTTGGGAGTATTTTTTACTCCATCATTTTAACTCCACTTTTAGAGTACTTTCTACCTCACTAATGGAGTAATATTTACTCCAACAGGAGTAATAAATACTCTAATTTAAAATTTTACTCTCATTTTGGAGTCAAAAACATGCCAAAAGTGGAGTAATATTTACCCTAACAGGAGTAATAAATACTCCAGTTTAAAATTTTACTCGCATTTTGGAGTCAAAACTATACCAAAAGTGGAGTAATATTTACCCTAACAGGAGTACTAAATCCTCTAGTTTAAAATTTTACTCTGATTTTGGAGTCAAAAACATACCAAAAGTGGAGTAATATTTACCCTAACAGGAGTACTAGATACTCTAGTTTAAAATTTTACTCTGATTTTGGAGTCAAAAATATACCAAAAGTGGAGTAATATTTACCCTAACAGGAGTACTAAATACTCTAGTTTAAAATTTTACTTTTATTTTGGAGTCAAAAACATACCAAAACTGGAGTAATATTTACCCGAACAGGAGCACTGGATAATCTAGTTTAAAATTTTACTCTCATTTTGGAGTCAAAAATATACCAAAAGTGGAGTAATATTTACCCTAACAGGAGTACTAAATACTCTAGTTTTAAAATTTTACTCTCATCTTGGAGTCAAAAATGTACCAAAAATGGAGTAATATTTACCCTAACAGGAGTACTAAATACTCTAGATTTACGCTCATTTTGGAGTTAAAAACATATACCAAAAGTGGAGTATATTTTATTCCTTATGAGTTATGGGGGTGTAAATTACACTAAAAATATGAACAAATAGTAAAATTGCAGTGAATAAAGGAAGAAAATTTTAATTAACATAACACTTTGATCATAAGTACAAGGATTATATATGTTTTGCTGGTTAACGCTTACCCTGGTTCCAGAGGCTCTTTGCAAGGCGAAATAAACGAGAGGCGAGAAGGAAGAGCCTCCGGTCACATCGGTTGCAAATTCCACTTCCACACTTGGTTAGGTTCAGAATTTCAATCTCCCATGTGATTGGCCATTTGTAAAAATATGTCAAACCGGTTTGGGAAATAAACAAGCTAATTATAGCTATAATTAGCTTACAGTAATGTTGTTTCGCCTCGCAAAGAGCCTCTGGAACCAGGGTAGTTAACGCTATCAAAATTGCTGTTTATATGCATGCAGTAAGTTGAAAAAGATTTGTTCGACCTAACTAAGTTAAAAAAAATTCTTACAAATTCTTTTAAAAATTAAAGTCCTTACAAATTCTTTTACACTTAGTCGTAAAATTAGTCAATTTGCCCATTCTGCAAAATTAATTCCCACCGTGATGACAGAAACTTTGATAGTGCAGCCTTCAGGTATAAGTACAAAAATTTACATGCATTCAATTACAAGTATACTAATACTGCATGTTTACTAGCAACATGCATGATGCAGAACACGTAGCTCGGTTAATTGTTAAAATGTTATTCAAGTTCTTGCAAATATTTGTTGATTGCAACCCTTTTTTAGCTTCCCTAGTTCTCTGCATCATCGCAGCTTCCAAAAACAGGAATACATTTTCGCTTGACAGTTGACACAGGGTA